CCCATGTTGGCCCATTACTTCCCCGGGGGGTTCCCGTAACCCCTCGGTACTCTGATAAATATCTGAAACGTCCCGAAACCATTCTGGTGTCTAAATTCTATCGTCCAATATATCAATCTTTACCTATCGACCATTTCGATAATCCTCTTAAAGTCCGTGATCTCAGCAGGGACTCCGAACAATCTTCGGTCACCAAAACACATAACTCATAATACAAATCGTCATCGAACGTTAAGCGTGCGGACCCTACGAGTTCGAGAACTATGTAGACATGATCGAGACACATGTCCGATCAATAACCAACAGCGGAACCTGGATTCTCATATTGGTTCCTACATATTCTACGAAGATCTTTATCGGTCAAACCGCAATAACAACATGCGTCATTCCGTTTGTCATCAGTATGTTACTTGCCCGAGATTCGATCGTCGGTATCCTCATACCTAGTTCAATCTCGTTTTCGGCAAGTCTCTTTACTTGTTCTGTAATGCATCATCCCGTAACTAACTCATTAGTCACATTTCTTGCAAGGCTTATAGTGATGTGCATTACCGAGAGGGCCCAGAGATACCTCTCCGATACACGGAGTGACAAATCCTAATCTTGATCTATGCCAACCCAACAAACACCTTCGGAGACACTTGTAGAGCATCTTTATAATCACCCAGTGACATTGTGACGTTTGAGAGCACACAAGGTGTTCCTCCGATATTCGGGAGTTGCATAATCTCATAATCAGAGGAATATGTATAAGTCATGAAGAAAGCAATAGCAATAAAACTTAACGATCATTATGCTAAGCTAACGGATGGGTCTTGTCCATCACATCATTCTCCTAATAATGTGATCCCGTTCATCAAATGACAACACATGTCTATGGTTAGGAAACTTAACCATCTTTGATTAACGAGCTAGTCTAGTAGAGGCTTACTAGGGACACGGTGTTTTGTCTATGTATCCACACATGTATCAAGTTTCTGGTTAATACAATTCTAGCATGAATAATAAACGTTTATCATGATATAAGGAAATATAAATAACAACTTTATTATTGCCTCTAGGGCATATTTCCTTCACTCGTTGATATGCATCTCCTAGATAGATCTTCCGTGAGCGTAGGAATTTTTTAAAATTGCATGCTACATTTCCCAACACTTTGCGTAGCCTACGGAATGCGGGTCACGCCTGACGAGATGGCGTTGTCTTCTCCATGTCTTCTTGTCTGTCTTGGGGGGTCTCAAGCACTGGAGTAGTCACTTGAGTTGGTGGTGTGCACGGGATCACTTCATGCAGAGGGGAGTTGGGGTGTTTCTCTTCCTAGAACGAATCTTGAACCATTGGCATCATGGGACCGCCAATGCTTATGAGTTCATTGTGCGAAAGCATAGGCGGTGATACCGGTTTCTGGGTGAGCTGAGGAAGGACTTCATCATCATCTTTTTCCACATTGCCTTCGTGACCAATGTCTTCAGCCGCGGTGGTGTCAATAGGTGGAATCTCAATAGTGACATGAGCCTATGTGGGAGCAGGTTCATGCACAACCATTCATATTTCTTGGTGGGATGAGGCAGGCAAAGCGACTGAGATGGGCTTCCCAAGCAGTGGCTTGTGAGGAGCAATGAAGAGGTTGGTGCTTGTGCCCTTCGTGAAGCCTTTGATGACTTTGTTTTCTGTCGCTTCTATGAAGAAGGGGCATCAGAAGCTTCTTGATGCCTTCGCTTCTTGGCTTCGGCTTCAGCTTGCTTCGTCTTCTTCCTTTCGGAAGCGACAGATGAAGCGGAGGGCTTTGGACCAGCAAAGCCTTGAGGGAAGATAATCTTTGGCACTTCTTGCCTTGAAGCCTCGGCAGTAGGGACGACCGGTTCCTTCTTCTTCTTCTTTGCCAGCTTTGGGTCAATAGGAGGGCGACCAAGAGCATTTCTCTTCAAGCCTTAATTGTGAACTTGGACGCACTTTCATGCATAGTTCTTCAGATGCTCACGTGAGCCTTTGGCTTCATCACGACGCCTCTGGAATCCAGCTTTGAGGCATGTCATCATCAGCTTGAACTTCTCAATATCAGTGGCACTTAGCTTGGCCACATGCTTCTTGAAGACAGCCTTTTCATGGTCAATCTTGTTCTTTTGCTCAATCACTTTCTGAGCAGTGGCCAATTCTTGATTCACAAAACCTTGGAAGGTAATGCTGATGTCAATGTGCAGCTGTAGATCTTCAAGAGATAGAGATGGATTATCGAACCACTCATCAATGAAGTTATTCAGAATGGCAGCATTGAACAGACACAGGTTCTTGAAGATATCAGCTTCTTCCTGCTTGTTCTTGATCAGCAGCTCCAGTGCATCATCATCATCAAGATCTTCATCACTTGACAGATCAGTGATATCACCATCATCACGTAGTATTCTGGTTGGAGGAGGGGCACACCCAATAGTCTCTTTTGTCTTCGGAGAGGTCCGGGACAAGTCTTCTGAGTGGACACTGGATTCAGGAGGTGCAATCTTCAGTGGCTTCACTCTTGAAGCTTTTGGAGAAGATGTAGCTTTTGAAGCCTTTGACTGGCTTCGGGGATTCAGGAGCATCAATGTGTTCCTCACCTTCTTGAGTAGTCTCAACACTTGCTCTTTGTGCAGTATAGTGCGCCGGAAATGCAGCAAAAACATTAAAGGGGCCAACTAGATTGGCTTCGGCTTCACGAGAGCCATCTGGTCTTGGTTCTACTGGACCTGGGTTGAAGTTACTCCCATAGTCTTTCTTGTTCTGGGCAGCAGAGCCCCTGGCGAACTGATAGTTGGCTTCAAAAAGATCATTATCATGGCACCACAATATGCTGGAGGGATCAGCATCTTGAGGGATAGGCCCTCTCACCATGCATGGAAAGAAGTTCAACAGAACGGCTTACGTCTTAGTCTTCGGATGAAGCTTCTTGTAGAAAATATCAGCCCATGGTGGCCTCACGGCATTCTTGGCAGCATACTCTAGGGTCACAAACTTGTATTGAAACCATTGTTCAACATAGTACCTGCGAATCCATTGTACGCGCGATCTGCGCTCCCCATATGTCTCTTCCGGATCAAACTTGCACATTTCATATAGATCTGGAGGCAAATCCAGTGCAATCTACTCTCGACAATGTCTACCCCTTTCTTTGAGTATTTACCACTTGCCATTGGCTTCGCTCTGCTTGTTAAACATGAACTGGCTTCAGGAGAGTCAAGGTGAAGTTGTAAGAAGTCTGTAGATGAATTCAGACTATGAGAACCAAGAGACCCGCCCACAGACATGTAACTGTGAAAGAATTAGAGATGCGAGGGAAGCAGGAGAGGTCATATGCATTCTCAGAGCATTTTGAAGATAAACTTAGTTTGAAGAAATTGACCTCATAGTGCGAAGACATTCACTTATTAGAATGAGTTGGTTCCACATTTGTACAAATCCGTAAATAAGTACCAATGAGGAATCACACTAGTTATGAAGCATAGGTGAAAGTACTTGGCTGATCATGAGATTCAAAATGATAGAAGATCCAGATTTGGAAGTGACATAACACCTTTCTAAAGTTATTGAAAGTTAAATGGATCAAATGAACGGTAAAAAGTGAGATTTATTTACCACTCAAGAACTAGGGACGAACAACAAGACAAGTCGGAGAGGAGGCTGAGTTGTTCGATCTCCCGCGCCCTAACTTGGCGGTGGAAGATAACTACGTCGGCGGCGGGGAGAGGATATTCGCGGCCGGCATGAGTACGACGAGGAGAGGTTGCGGCAGCGAAGCGCTTCTTCTCCAGCGACAATGAGGCTAGCGGCGGCGTTAGGGTTGTGAGAGTGATAGCGACATGAGTAGAGGATTTAATGTCCACGAGTGCTTTGTATTTATAAGGAGGAGTGCGGCGCTAGGAATTTACTGTGCTGCCCCTGGCGATTCGCATATGCGCGACGCGTGGCATGCATGCACAGTTTAAACAACCACATCACATGTATCCTTACACAGTACGGTGTATTTGTTCATCTCTCCTTTTTTTTTCTCCTTTTTAGCTGGGACTCACCCACTATTTGGGGACAAAACTTTACTGTGCTATACCTTCTCCTATTTTTTCAATGGGGACCCATCCACCCATGCTTTTTAATTTTGATTTTGAAGTTTAACCTTTATATCTTTTGAATAGATTAGGTTTATTATCTGTTTGAATATTAATGTTCTTAGAGTTTAAATCTTTCAAAACAAGATCAATCCTGGACACTTTTTAAAAACATTATGCTCAATTTATGGAACCATAATGAAACTTATATGAAATCCAAAATGAAACAGTAAAGAAAGAAACCTAAATGAAATAGCAATGCAAACATGTAAAAAGGAATGTAATGAAGAAGTGATGAAAACATGTGAAATTGAGATGACACGCACATGAAACAGTAATGAGATCCGGAATGAAATAGTAATGAAAACATGTAAAAAAGACATTTAACGAAAATATAATGTAAACATGTAAAATTACAATGACACACACAAGAAACCGTAATGGCAACATGTAAAAACAACATGCTAGAAACTGAAGTCAAACCATGAAGAATAATTAAACCAAATAATATGAACAAAATACTTAAAATAATAATATAAATGAAACCCGAATGAAGTAGGTCAAACATTATAAATCAATTTCATAATTGGAATTTGATTTTTTTAAACAAGTAAGATTAATCTTGTTTTCAAGATTTAAACACTAGGAACACTAATAGTTTCCAAACGAATCATAAATGCCGGCGAGATTATCTTTTGACTCCAAACATAACCAAGTCACTTGCTCTTAACCAACAATGATGAATGGCTCCCCCCGGAAAAAAAAAAACAATGATGAATGGCTCTTAACCGGTTCCGCTAGAAAATCACCTCTCCAGCAAACGCGCATAGCATTCTCTCTGGTTTCTTCGTTTCTGGAAACGTGGCCACTATATGTAGGGCTACTTCCGCGATCAGCCCCCGTACTTTTCTTTTTTGAACAAAATCAGCCCCCGTACTTGGCTTTGTAGTCGTTCCACAGGTCCTGCACGCTCTTACCCAGGATCTCCACGAAGTAGCCGTCGCTGTACCCGCTGTCCTTCATCTTGCCGTTGAGCTCCCCGACGAACCCGGGCTTGATCACCGAGTCGCAGTAGTCCAGGAACCTTGCCGTCACGTCGTAACCTCCGTCCCAGCTGCGCCCCTGCCCCGGCGCCACCCAGTGCGCCGACGCGTACCCGGCCTTGAGCCTGACAAAGTCGGCGACCCCCTCGAAGACCCACCAGTGCGCCGCGTAGTCCTGGAGACCCCACTGCCAGACGTGGGTCGCCTCGTGGTACAGCACCCCCGTCAGCTCGGCCTTCAGGTCGCCGGTGAAGCGGGCGACGTAGCCCTCGCTTAGCTCGATGGCGCTGCCGCTGGTGGAGGCGATGCCGCCGTCCGTGTCGTCCACGACGACGAGGGTGACGGCGCCGCCGCCGTCGACTGGCCTGCGGTCGGCCTCGCGGGCGCCCGTCTGGTTGAAGACGTTCCAGATGAAGGAGGCGGCTTCCGAAAGGACCTGCCTCGCGTAGTCCGCGCCGTACTCCACGTCGAAGCGCTGGCCGCCGGGGGTAGTCGACGCGTTGTTCGTCACCTCGAACGTGACGGCGCCGGCCGTGCCAGCGACGAAGGCTAAGACTAGGGAAGCGACGGTTGCCACGGAAAGCTTCATTTTGTGATAGCAGCTCCGATGTAATTCTGTGACCGGACAGGTTGTGGTCGCCGGTCGATCGGTGCGATGTTTATAGGCAGAACCTTCCATTTTTGTAGAGTTTGAGGATTTGTCCTGAAATGGCCTGCGAGGACATCCTCCCAAGAAGGCTGGCCGGCAGATTTTCTAATTGGAATTTGGTACACGGTTGTTTCACATAATACAACCTAGAGTTCATCCGTTGCTATTGTCTTTTGCTTACTATTTCATTAATCTGTTATTGCCAGATATCGATCCTCATGAATGTTCATGTGCCCATTTGGTTTAAAACAGAAGGAACGCCACGGTGTGGTGAATGCCGTGCATTGCTCTTGCCAGCAACCAACGGTCCAACGTAGTATTTATATGTTGACGGCCTGCAGCTGCAGCTGCAGCATGACTGGCGTCATACGGATCGAGTGTGGCTGGGTTTTAGAGCATCTACGGCCGGGCAAATCCGACCCTAAACGTCCACGGACATGTCCAGACGCGGCAATAGACAGCGTCAGACGGCCCTTCCTATGTGTTGCCGGGAAGCCACACTCCTCAAATCAAACTATCAAATCCATGCAAAGGCATGCACTTTCGAAATACACCTGAATATCACAAGAGAATTTAAGTAGTTCCACAATTCAAACATAGTTCATACATGAAATACATAGTTCAAACATAAAATTTATTTGAAGTGCACAATTCAAATAATAAACTCCTTCGTTTTCATTGTGGATCTACATATTCTCTACAAGATTATTGAGTACCTGCACGTGCACCTGTTCATCTCGAAGATTCTCATGCATTTGCCGAAAATTCATAATTTCATTTGCATCTTGAGCCGAGATGTGGACTTGTTCTCCAAGCTTCTCGAAATCATGCACTCGTGCTGCCCCTTGACCCTCGTCCTCGACAATTATATTGTGCAAAATGACGCACATCAGCTGCCACAGAGTCTCTGATACCTGCATCATTGCGGCTCCATGAAAAATTCCCCATAGAGCTTGGAGCACCCTGAATGCCCTGTCCACATCCTTCCTAACTCAATCGAGGATAGATACCATCTGCAAGGTAGTATCTCTTGTTGTAGTGGTGCCCGTTGAGAGTGTAGTTGTACAGCGGCGTTTTCCCATTGCAAAGTCTCCTAAACACGGGAGATCACCAGAGCACATTGATGTCATTGTGAGAATTAATCATGCCAAAGAAAGCATGCCAAATCCACCAGTCTTTTGATCCGATTGCTTCAGAGTATGATGGTGGCCTCATTGGTGTGATCTTGGTACATCCCGCATAAACCTTTGGGACAGTTCTTTCATTGTCAATGCATTCAATCGGTTGAACTGAGCATACCTGAAAAGTATCTTGCCAGTCCAATAGCCATCAACTTTTCTATATCTTGCACATTTGGTTCTCTTAGATACTTTACTTCAAACACCTGCACCACGGCTTAGGCAGATCTCATGGTGGTTTTCGGGCATGTGTTGTCCCCCATCTGGACCATCTCACCAGCGGCATCAACGGCAGTACCTAGTGCAAGCATCCTCAGAGTAGCCGTGCACTTCTGCTTAGTAGAAAATGAGAATTGTCAGCAACAATTCCTAGTGAGATTGAAGTAGGAATCATGTGCTTCCACTCCCTCTACCGTGTGCAAGAACGAGGGTTTACGCATATGTAAGCTTCAACGAAACCATGTACCAAGGAAGGTCGGTGCAGGTTGGAAGTAGTCCTTGTAGAGCAGCTTTGCTCCAGTGACTCTATCCCGGTTCAGAACTCCTCTACCTTTGATTGAACCCTTGAAGTTCACAATGTGCTCTGCCTCCTATACATTTCCTGTTGGATGCTCATGATTATCAACATCTCGCCCTCTTCGTCTAGTGAAGATGAATCAAATAATTCCTTTTTCATTAACTCATCAAGCTCCGGGTTTCCATACTGCTCATCCGATAAACCATCCGAGTCCATCATTTTCTATTACAGAATCACAAAAACCTAGTCAGACAATTTGTCAAACACATAGAGGGAAAGTTGTGGTCCGAGAATAATTGGACATATTGCGGCTGCAGCCGAGGTGGAGATGGTGGCCAAACCAGCGAGACGGTCAGGGAGGAGGTTTGTGGTGGTGGTGGTGGCGGCAGTGCTGAGGGGTCGGGTCAGCGGGAGGGGTAGGGTGGCGGCGGAGCTAGTGGAGGGCCTGGAAGAACAAGGCAGAAGAAAGGAGAGGCAAATGGATAGTCTGACAAGATCAAAGGGGGTGGATTTTGTGCATTTTATGGTGGGTCCTGCCTATCGGATCCGACGTGGCGGATGTGCGCGTGCTTCTTCGGCCTCCCCCCGTACCTGCCCCAGATTTGGGCTAGATACGAGGGGTGTCAGTCACCTAGGACGTATACGGTCGATTTGAGGAGCGCGTCTAGGACGGAATTTTGTGACCAGTCGGCGGCCGGGCCGTCCTCCCCAGCATATGGGGGCGCCCGACTGTAGATGATCTTAGATCGGCCGATTACTTTGAGTTTGGTTCTCTTGTCGTGGTCGGTATTCACACATTCATGCACACTGTCACACGTTCCCTAAAGGTTCACCCTCTATCAATTTCATAGCTAGGTCGCACTTACTTCTTTAAGTTTGTGGACTTTGATGCTACTCATTGCCCATTTAGGACTGTCAAAGTATGCGTGAATTTTCTAACCTTTTCTATCAACTAGATGAACCATTGCATGTATGACACAAAGTCCAAATGCAACGAAGTTAGGCGAATTATATGAAACATTTTCTAAAATTGTTAAAATATTCTCTAAATTGGTCCATCAATGGTAGTGCTTTTGAATAATTCTGAAAGTACTCAAACCATTTCTAAAAGCATTCATAATTGTGTAGTTAGAACATTTCACATTTGTTTTACATAAACCCCACATATTTATACATAAAAATACATCTTTTTATTGTTTCCCACACCTAAATTATTAATACAAAAGAAAAGTATGTTTTTGGTCCCTTAAGTTTACTGAACGTAGACATTAGGTCCCCAGAGATTTTTGAGTGACATTTAGTCCCTCGTGTCTCAAAGTTGGTAAGTATCATCCGAAACCAGAGACAAAGTGGTATTTGGATGACGTGTCCACGGTTTTGACTCAAGCATCCAAATTTGACTGCCAGCTCATCTATCAATCTCTAGGATGTATCAGCAAGATTTCGTCGAGCACCTCATGTGCGTTCGGCTTCTGCACCGACTGTGACACACCAAGCTCATGCTAGCCAACCACGCACCACACCAGCTCACATGACGTGTCCCCCACTAGATGTCGACGAGCAGCAGGGTAGGGCACATCCATGAGTGAGCCTGCTAAGGTGGTAGAGCTGGAGCAGCATGGCAGTAGACCGCTACGCCACTCGCTCCCATCCCTCCTCTCCCTCCTTCCGACCGCTTTGGTCTCTCTACGAAGCCGCCGATGCAAGAACACATGCCATGAGTCGTTGCATCCACTCCCTCTTCCCTTTTCACTTTAGTACATGCTATTTGTGAGCTGCATTGGGATTTTCCCGAAGAGGAGAGGAGATGCAGTACAGTAGAGATAAGTATTTCCCCTCAGTGAGAACCAAGATTTATCAAACCAATAGGATAATCACGCAAAGCCTCATGAACAACACCTGCACACACAAAAGTAAATACTTGCACCCGACACGGGCAAAAGTGTTGTCAATCCCCTTGAACTCGTAACTTGCAATAATCAAATCTTGTATAGGTAGATGGATAAATTGCAAAACAAAATAAATGAAATAAAATTACAGAAAAGGAATTTTAGTTTTTGTAATATGATTAAAGTAGACCTAGGGGCCATAGTTTTCACTAGAGGCTTCTCTCTCGAACAAATAACATACTATGGGTGAATAAATTATTGTTAGGAAATTGGTAGAAAAGCACATGATTATATCGACATCCAAGACAATGATCGTGTATATAGGCATCACGTCCGAGACAAGTAGACCGACTGATGTCTGCATCTACTACTATTACTCCACCGATTGACCGCTATCCAACATGCATCTATGGTATTAAGTTCATGAAAAACGGAGTAACGCCTTAAGCAATATGACATGATGTAGAAAAAGTAAAACCAATCAATATGAATAAACCCCATCATTTTACCCTTAATGGCAACAATGCAAATACGTGTCTTGTCCTCTTTTGTCACTGGGATATAGAGCATTGCAAGATTGAACCCATCACAAAGCACCTCTCCCACTGAAGATAAATCAATGTAGTTAGTCAAACCAAACGGATAGATCGGAGAGAAATACAAAGCTATAACAATCATCCAAAATAAAGTTCAAAAAAGACTCAATTATTTCTCATGAATATTCAGAGCATAATCCCACAATTCATCGGATCGCAAAAAACACACCACAAAAGAAGATTACATCGAATAGAACTCCAAAAACATCGAGGAGAACATTGTATTGAAGATCAAAGAGAGAGAAGAAACCATCTAGCTACTAGCTATGGACCCGTAGGTCTGTGGTGAACTACTCACACATCATCGGAAGGTATCAAGGATGATGTAGAAGCCCTCCTTGATCGGTTCCCCTTTCGGCAGAGTACCGAAAAAGGCCTTCAGATGGGATCGCGGAAGAAAAGAAACTTGCGGCGACGAAGAAAGGGTTTCAGGTGGCTCTCTGTTGGTTTCCCAATATTTGAGAATTTATAGAGGTCGAATTAGGTTAGACGAAGCCTCTTGGTCCTTGAGTTTCTATGTAGTCGTACTCGTCGCTGCACCGTATTGAAAAAGAATCATAGTAGACCCGGCATCGTCAATGCCACAAAGAGGGATGGTGATGGAGTCGAACTTGGGAATGTTATCTTGGAGCTCGTCGGGCTTGGACATCTCGGTGGTACTAGCCTCATGCTCGCCGTCTTGGAGCGTGGTCGTCACGAAGTGTGCTTGGGGTCGAGTCGACTTGGCCTTCTTGAGTTCTTGCTCCGCCTTGAGAGCACC